TTCGCACTTCTAAGCCAGATCATTTCTAGAGTTATTTAAGAACAATTCTGCCCATTTCATCACTCACAAGTGAGAGTTCAGTTCAGTTCTTTAACCATCCACTCCCCCTCAATAACCTTGGCACAGGGGATGAGTTAAATTTCCCCTTATCTTCACCATTAAATAAGGAACAGAAATGAAAACAAAGAGGCCACAAAGAAATCAGCATGACATCTTATGACTGTGACCTTCTTTTGAGATGTAGGAAATCTTCAACCTTCTCAAATCTCACATTTTTATATTGTATCAATTTCCTTTCAGAAATTCAATGAATATAGAAAATTGAGTAAAAGCATACATTTTACTTCATGATTATGAGTACATATATCTATTCTATTATTGATTAATCATTCCTCTTGTCCAAACACTGGACCTTGTTATTATTAATTAGACATCACATACAGTGTGTAATATCTCTGGATGTATGAAAAGCACATACTTCTTGCTGCAGTTGTGTTAGATATACAGTGTATTAAACAGATACATAACCAGAGGAAACAAAGCTTTCAGTTATAAGTCTTCAGTTTAATATTTTGTCTGTGTTTCAAGAAAATATATTTTTTTAATCTGCTGATCACTTCCTTTCCATAACATGCCACATGATTTGATCAGTCGTATCTGTAACATACACACCACTAATAATATCAGGTTTTGCTAAAAACATTTGTACGACCAATGAAACATAAGTCCTCTGTCCTCTGTATAGTCAAGTTAAATTCAACCCAGTTAAATACATTCCTGTATGGAAAGTACGTGAAAAGAACTCTCTTGAGGAAATACAGTCTCTTCCCAAAAGGCAAACAAACTAAGTAAGCAATCATATGCTCAGAACGTTTTTATCATTTGGTAAACATTAATGTTTTACCAGTACTAAGACCTTGTTAATATAACACTCACTTATAAATGATAAAAAACGTTATTCTGACTGGCAAAAAAATGTTTTCTTTCTTCTTGCTTAAAGCAAAATAAAAAATTATTAATAATAATGAATTAATATTGTATTCTTTGTGCTGTCTTTCTCTCTGCATAGACTAGGGACATTTAAATGCAGATAGACTTTCAAATGTCAAAACAAGTGGTCATTTCTGTTCCATCCAGGCAAATGTATCCTCAAGGATGATGGATGTGTTGTTGAGAGCATTTCATTGGAAGATTGGAAAATGAAAGCAAGTCTGTGCTTTATAAGGAACGGACCGTATAAGAAGGAAACATTTCTCTGGAGCTGCCTGTGAGGTGAATCATGAATCAGGCTGTTCTCACACTGCTGTGTGCTCTGGTGTTTGGAGTGACTCTTACACACTCTGCAGGTGAGCTAAAACCTATTGTCTTTCATTACATTTGCATCATATATACACAGAATAATTAGTATAGCCTTTTAGTTACACACCGTTAAAAATTTAAGAAAATATTAAAACTTAAAAGATCATGTTTCCAAAAGTTCATGTTTCATCAATGAAAGTATGAACATATATGTATCAAAATATGACATTTCTAAACTTTAAATGGACCGTAATGGATAATCTACAGCCGTCCTTATTGAAAAATAGTGTATCAGTTTTTATATCATTTGTCATTACACAAAAATATTTGACCACAGAATGCAGTGATTGTCCAATCAGAATTAAGTATTCTAAAGCATCCAGATATCATGTTTGTTGAGGTTCTGTTAAATATACATAACAAATATCTCTTAATTTGTGTGTTTGCGTGTTTTGGCATGAGGTTTATTTTCTGTCAATCCAATCAGTGACTACCGGCTTGGAACAATAGTTTTCCTGCTCTGGATCTGCTTTGTACATTAGTCCTTAAACTTATCATAATTGTGTTTAGGGCAAGCAGGGGGGCTATCACAACGCTGTTTATGCAGAGGCAGACTGCTGAAAGCAGTGAAGCCCAGATGGATTCGTGCAGTTGAATTGCTCCCACCAAGTCCCTCTTGCTCAAAGACGGAGATTATGTAAGTATGTATACGAGTACTGTTACATGATAATATTTATACATCTTTATTTATTCTAGAGATTCATTTTTGCAATGTAGTTAATGAACATTGTAATTAACAATTGAAAGTCCGCAATTGCAGTGAAACGATTGAATTTGTTTCTG